AAACGGTCTTCAACGCTGGTCCAAAGTCCCCGTGAATTTCGTCCAATTCGGCTTTAATCTGCACAGCCGTCCATTTCTTTAAATAAAATTGCTTAATCACTGCACGGAATTCGTCTTTCTCCATTTTTATGACAACTGTTGCCATGCTCACTTCCAACATCTGCCACATGTAAACTAAGCATCGTTTTTGGTTGAAACTTGGTATGAGGCAGTTTGAATAATGTTACTTCCTGGTCATATATTACACAGTTCATTCTGGCGCTATCTCGCAAAAATTTACCTGACTTATCGAACGATCTTCGTATATAAAGATTTTATATAAACAAAATCTATTTTACTGTCGTAAAGTTTCTTTTATTTCATGAGATTAGAAATTATTGCCAATTTTGATATCACACCTTTGTATTAATTAAAAATTAATTTTTTTCTGATATAGAAACTTTTTTATTAAATAATTAAAAACTTTCTGTATATGAGTGTTGAAAGGTTTTTTTATCTAATAAGATTAAGAGTCGACGGAAATTAAATTTTTAATATTAGATTTTTAGATAAATTAAAAATTGATTTATTTTCTGAAATTTGAAAATTTTTTTATAAAACAGACTTTTCATATGAAATATAAATAAATATATCATTTAAATATTCAAATAAATATTTTATAAATAATTATTTTATATTAAAATATAAATAAATATGAAAATTCTTCTATAAGAAAATTACAAATATCTGCAGATTGCAACGCAGATCGGAAGTCGAGTATGCTTAAAGGTAATTGCATCCAACAACTATTTTAATATCTAATACCTTTTCAGGCTTATTTCTTTATTGTTCATTGTATGTATTATATATATATTCATAAGGAGAACAGGTAACTGCTTAGGATATTTTGATGCGCTTTATACAGGCTGTTCTTGAGCGAAAAAAAAGACGATACGTGTCCGGCCGTTCTTGCCAATGGCCCACAATTTTGAAGAAATTGATTTTAAAAAAAATGAGTCTAGTCGACCGATATATGGGTGGGACGCTTTATATGTTTGATCGTCATTATTAAGCAGGAGCAGCGGTAGTACAGTGGGTAAGACGTTAGCTTTGTATAGATCGCGTATTCAAATCCTGTCGGCTATACTTCATTTTTTTATTAAAAATTTGTTCATATCTGTAATTATGTATATTACTGTAGATGTTGAATCGAAAAGAAATTTGATCGTTAGTGTTGGCTTGGAATATTAATTGTATATTTCAATTGAGTGGACTGTATAAATTCCTGTTGTGTGTTGATGTGTTATTCGCTCGCTTGTCTAGACTCGACTCGCTAAAGATACACATTTTTGAACTTATAATACAAAAGAACGCGTTTATGCTTCGTTTGTTCCTGCACATGACATATCGCTGGATCACTCGTTGGAGATGACCGATGTACTGTGTGTCGAATCTGTTGCAGATCTGGTGCCATCGGGTATTTCGATCTATTACTCCTCCATTCGAGATCTTCTTCGATATTGCTGATTTTTTTCGATTGATGGCAAAGCGTATTATGCCACTCCTCGCATTCTCGGCAAGAGCTGGATTTGCAGCTTGAAACAAAATGATCATTGCGAAGACAGTTAATATATAATTTTAATCGTTTAACTATCTGAATTCTATTCTCGACAGTTGAATCCAAGAATTGGTTGCAAAAATAGATTAAATATTGCCCTTGACATAAGTAATATCGCCCCGGTTGAATCATTGTCGCTAATGATGTTTTGTTTTGCGTCTTTAAATAAAACAGTTGATTTTTTTTACCGCCTTTCTCAATAGTATTCGTTCTCAACTTATACCTTCAGAGCCCTCACTTATGGATGTACTCTCTAAAATTTGGCACCGTCGTTGTAGAAACTCGATCATCATGTCCGTTGTTACCTCCTCCAATGCCTCGGCGTGTTCCTCTCAGCGTCTCCTCGTAATGTTGTCCAGATTCTTCTCGATAAGATGAACGACCAGTTCTTCCCGGATTTCGTGGGAAGGTTTATGGAATGCAAAATTCGAAGATGTTTCTGAATATGATCCACGAGTTCACGAATCTCCCCGGCAGACTCTCGATGCACTCGGGACAATTCAATAAGCACTGAACGTATCGCTTCCGGATGGCCCTCTTCTTGTCGTAGCGCTTCCTCAGCAACTCCCCAGACAATCGTGTAATTCTGATCGGAGATCTCGATTGATTCGATCACCCGAGTGCCCTGGACCTGTCAATGATTCCACTAAATATTTGATGTTTTTGCACGTTCGACAGATTACTATCGTCAATGTTTTAAATGTATCAGCGTATCGTTTCCATTCCTCAAAATTTCCGCTGAACGTTGGTAACTTGATGACCGGTAACTTGATTTGAGGCTCACGTGATATGCCGGATCCAATCGTTCCAGCATTCGATCCTGCTGCTCCAACATTCGCAACAGAGTATCGCCGTCACTGATATCGGTTGACCACTCGGATAATCGTTGCATAGCACTACTTGCTGCTCCAAAACTTGTGTCAGGGCACTTTCACTAACCTGGCCTCCGTTGCCGCTAATCAAAGCTTGAATTGGCGGTTTCAACCTTTCTAAACACTGAAACCAATGATGCCCTTGTCGCAAAATATCGATCCTCGAATTCCTCTTCTTCCATCGCGTCTTGCTATTCGTAATCTTCCTCAGACAGTGCCATCAATAGTTGTTGTGAGATCGCTTGAAATTTGTTATATGGTTCAGCCAGAGCTTGAATCCGCGATTTCTTCCTTGGAAGTGCTTCTCAAATCGTTGTTTACTCGATTTACAAAATTTCTCACCAACATTATCTTGCCCTTGATGAAGGGCAAGGTAACGTCTTCCTTTTTGTCTTCTTAATGATTCAACGCTCATCATGCTTGTTAATTGCTATCCGGCTCGAAGGACCAGAAATGTTGTTGAATCGAAAAGAAATTTGATCGTTGATGTTGGCTTGGAATATTAATTATATATTTCAATTAAGTGGACTGTATAAATTCCTGTTATAAAAATCTTGCTCTCTTGATGTGTTATTTGTTCGCTTGTCTAGACTCGACTGATTAAAAATTAAAGACACATTTTTGAACTTATAAGACGCACGGTATGTTTATTTGTTATCGATTGTTAGTTATTGTCTTTCTAATGTGTTATTATATTTTAAATCGTCAAGGTTTCGATGTTTGTTTGCACAAATAACTCGGATGATTGTTTCTTATTTCTTGGCTTTCAATACATGAATTCTATACAGAAATGTTCGAAAAAAATTATTTATTTAATTATTCTGTATTTTTGTAAATAAAATTTTTAAGTAGTATTGTAATAATTTGAAAAATCTATACAAAGAAATATTAATATCTTTATAAATTTCATTTTAATTTAATGTTATTAATTTTAATTGCTTTCTAATTGTAATAAAATTTCATAAATTTACAAATAAATAATGAAATACTCATGTATGGAATAATTACTATTACCATCATTGTTATCATCGTTATTATTCATATGAACGTATAAATAAGAATGTAAAGACCGTTAAAATGAAACGATAAGAAGTATAAAGATATTAATATTTCTTCATACAGATTTTTTAAATTATTATAATAACTACTTAAAAATTTTATTTATAAAAAAAAATATAAATATAAATAAATAAATAATTTTTTTCGAACATTTACAGTAATATAAATAATTACAGATACGAACAAATTTTTAATAAAAAAAAAAGAAATGTACGCGACAGGATGTAATAAGTAATTATCATACAGGACAATTTAAAAACGAAAATAAAGTTTGAAGTCTATATTTTAAGAGACTTTTAATGCTTATTGAGTAGAATGATTAAAAAAAGATTTTCATTGATTCATGCAAAACAAGCAATGCATCCAGAATCCAACCCGAATAGCAAACGTTCAAAGTGCCAAATAATCTCTACTATTCATCGATTGTAAATTTACGAACAAAATGAGCATTTTGTAATAAAGCAAGAAAAGTTTATTGTATAGCTCTAATATAAGTAAACTTTTACAGTAATGATTAAAAATAAACTTTTTTTTATATTACATCTGTACTCAAATCGCGTTTTTCTCGAAACTATATTTTTTAGTCGACATGACTTGTCAAAAAATATTGAACTAATCGACTTCAAACTTGATTTATATATAAAAAGCAAATCTATTTGTCGTCTGATAATTGTCCTACTACGATATCTTCATTAACTATTTTTCTAAAGCTGTTAAAATCAAAATTTTCTCGGAAAAAACGATAATTTATTTTTATAAATTTGGCCATTTTAACAATTTGCAATACTTTCTTTTTATCTAGATGATAACCATGTTCATTGTAATTAAGAATTCTTTTGATTTATTAATTTCAAGTAAATAAAACTATTGAAATCATGTTAATTAGCGACATATATATTCTTTTTTACATATATATTCTTTTTTAGTAAAATATTTAAATTGATATAACAAGATAACCAATTGATATTTGTTTGTACCAAAATTTATTTTTATTATTTAACCACAAATAAAACGTATGTAAAAGTTGATAATCATATAGAAAATAGTTTAATTATAATTAATCCACAAATATAGACACTTTTGTGTGCTCTAGATTAGAATACTTCCTTAAATATTATTGATTTAAAATATGTACAAATGTAAAATATTTAATGCACATATTAAATAATTTTTTTACTAACAATTTTTTACTTTATAATGAAATTAATAAAATACTCTATAAATATGTATATAAGTATGCATGTGTATGTATATATGGTGTATATATATATATATATATATATATTATAATGTTATATA